TTTAGATACGCGTCCCAGACACCTCCTTGAGGAGGTAACATTTGAGTGGAGACCTGAATGCAGTGTGGGAGTGAGCCATGAGAAAATCTGGAGCGCTTTGCGGGCAGAAAGAGAGATGTGCAAAGGCCCTGGGGCAGCACTGAGCTTGGATGTAAGAGAAGCATGTGCCTGAGGTTGTGAGTGAGCAGAGGGACGTGAGGGGAGGAGGCTGCAGCCGTCAGCGGGGCCTCTCGGTGGAGGGAGTTGGGATTTGGAGATGTTCCTGAAGGGCAGTCACCTGCCCCATGCACCGCTGAAAAGTCCACCCTTCTCTGCGTCTTCCTTCGCTGTATTCCGGACACACCCCCCCTAGAACCTGGCACCCAGCAGGCGAGCCTGGATATTTGTGGAGTGATATCCGTAGAAAGAACAATTCAGACATCTGTTGCAAAGATCTCCCACACCTTCTAAAGGAAGGCGTGTTGTTGGGGTGATTAAACAGACCTCCAGGATTACTCTTTTGGCTGGAGTGACGTTTGCTTTCACTCTGCTGATGGTTACCTACATCCCTCCTCTTAAGTTTTAGTAAGAGGAGTCCTTGGGGCACCTCGTGGAATTGAGAGCAGGTGGCCGGGCGACCCCGGAGCCCTGTTGCCCCCGAGTGACCCCTGGGGCAGCTGAGATCTCGGGCCCCTTAGACAGCGTGTTCCAGGGCTCCGAAACTCCCCCGTGTCAACAGTCTGTTTCCGTTTGGGCTGCAGCACCCACAGGGTTCGGCTGAGATGCGGTGAGCTGCCCAGTGGTGAGGTCTGGAGGAAGGGAGACAGGGTGGACCTCCCTTCAGGGAGGTCATACATCAGCTGCCCCAGATGATTCTGTAGGACTTTTGTCCTTCGGAATGATTTAACCACGTGTAGGTGAAAGTATCATGTACTTTTCTTTTTTAAATACAGACGGTTGTGAAGCTTGTGAAAGACGTTCTCGGACACGGACACCGTCACGTGACAGTCTTTTTTTCCTCTCCAGGTTCTGACTCCAGCACAATTGAAATCCATATTGCAAGTGTGTCCCGCAACGGAAAGGAGACTGAATCTGTTCCAAAAGCCCAGGGAGACCTGTGAGAGGACGAGATAGAGGTCCAGATCCCGTCTTCCTCAGACTCCACGTTTCTCATCCCTTAGGACTGTGATCTCGCCTGCAGTCAGCGCACTGCAGGGTGTAGCATCCCCCCAAATCTCACTCCCATCACCACGTTAGTGTATTCCCCAAGATCCTCTTTGTGGTAGGAGGGACGATCCGTGAGCCTGCGCTTGGGGATGGCAGGGCGGGGCTTTCCAGATCAGACACTCTCCACTGACGTTCGTTTTTCTGATCTGGCTGTAATGTAAATGCCAGACCCAGGTCCTTGGAAAAGTTAATAAACGAGCTGTGTCCGAGCTCCCAGCCTGCCTTGGATTCTGTCTGAACAGCACCTCCACAGAATGCTCTTGAGTCAGATAGTGATGATGCCAAAAGGCCACGAGAAGAGGCAGCAGGACCGACGGAGCACCGAGGAGCAGCCGCACAGCAAGCTCCTTATCCACCACTAGGGGGCAGCGGAGGACAGGCTTGGACCGGCAATTTAGCCCTCGGTCCCCACGTTGTGTTGAGCAATGATTGAGTCTAAGGAATCCTTGGGACCTGACTTATGCTCAGATCATTGCCTACGTTTCCATCTTTCCATCAGCTGAAATATAGATTACATATATAAAGTATACATATATAATTATATAGAGAGTTGTCCTTTGATATCCATGAGAGATCTGTTCTAGGACCCGCACGATTTCGAAATCCAGAGGCCCTGGTCCACACCCGTGGGGGGGTCTTCCGCATCCGCAGGAGCCGCTGGCCGGGGGATGGGCAGTGCAGACGGTCGGCTATTCATAAAATCTGTATACTATAGATACTGAACATATACATGTGCATATATATCTGGGGGCAAAAATACTGTGTATACTATTCCCTGGAGACGCAAGCCACCTAGGTAAGTCTATCGAAAGGCAAGGCACCATTTCCTCAGGACACTGCAGTCAGCTCTGCCATGTGACCCTCGTTTATATCAAGACTAGGACTCCATCCTGCTCTAGAAAAGCTGTCCAGGATGCTTCTGGATTTGTGTTTTTGGAGTCACATGGCCGCAGATGGATTCAGGGCATCCTATGACTGTGACCGTGGTACCCAGGGCTGCGTGCTCCTCAAGATGGACCGACGTCCCAGCCACCTTGACCCAAAGCGTCCAGCAGGTGTGAAGGAGTTTGAACTTCCCGGGTGTCATCTGCGTTCTTAATCTCTGCATCGACATTCCATCTGCCCGCAGCATCAGAAGCCCGTCCTCTGAGGACTCCCCATGCTGAATGAGGCACAGCCTCAACCCCACTCTAGAGCAAAGCTGCCAGCTGCTCACTCTCCCAGGCTCCCTCGCAGCTAGAGCAAAGCATGGGCCTGGCAGAAAATCAGATTCGTGTCCCAAGTCTAAGCTGGAAGCGGGTGCCCAAGGCCATGGGCCGTGCAGAAGCACTGCTGGAAAGGGGTCGGCAGCTGGTGCTTTGGAAGGCATCCGGGGTGTGCTTTCAGGGGCCAGCCCAGTGTCCAGTATCAAGGTGTGGGCAGCTCCCAGCGCCGCGTCTGCACCCGGTGTTATGTGTATGGGCCCAATCCTGCAGCCGAACACGGCCCCCAAGCCTGGTTCTCCAGAGGCTCCCCCCGAGGTGTTCAATGTCATCCTCACCCATTCTGTTGGCTTTACATTAGCCACAGTCAGGTTCAGAGCTTGCACGTGAGAACTCAGGCTGCTGTGACTATCTGGTTAAAGGGACCTCTCTCAGCAGATGGGGTGTCAGCGTCACAGCTGGCAGGGTGGTTTCGATTGGGATGGAGGCAGAGTGAGCCGGTGAGTGGATACCTTCCTGTGGCTACGTGCCACGCCCTAAGCTACACCTGGGCACTGGGGACAGAGATGCTATCGGTCACTCCCGGGAATAACAAGCGAGCACAGCAGATCACGACAGACCACGCCTGGCTTTAAGCAACTTCCGTGTAAGGCTGGCTGCCGCAGGGGGCTGCTATGTTACTGTTTTGTAGATGGTAGCTGGGACGATAAGTGGAAAGATCTAGGGGAGAGGAACCGATGGTGATGGGAGATGGGAAGGTTCTTGAAAAGGGGAGGGAACTGGGACCCAGAGCCAGGAGTTTGCACGTGACAGGTGTAGCTGGGAGTGTAGCTTGGGTGCAAAGATAAGCCTGCTCCTATCAGGTGGCTTCTGTTTGATTTCAATTTATTGGCCAGTTTATTTACCACACCTTAAGAAACGTTTAAATGAGTCTACTTATTCCCCCTATTCCAAAGATACCCTCTTCGAGGTTTACAGTTGTGTTTTCTGGTGGCCGTTTCTCTCAAGAACTTTGCTCTAGGGTAAGTATATTCCTAATAGGAGTCCCCCATCCCCCAGAGGATTTCACTTCAAGTTTCAGGAGAAGGTAACACTGTAACAGTCCCTGCCTCCTTCCACCATGGGTACCGCCCCCCACCCTCCCCCCACCCCGAGGCTCCCCAAGCCCTCCTCCATCACGGGTCCCCCTCCCCGCGACCCCCACGTGGTCCTCCAGGTGGAGCTGCGTCTTCCTTTGCTTACCTTGCAAATGGATGAAGACACTTGGGAGAAAAAGGAGCCAGACTGGAAGAAAAAGAAAAACAACATTCCACCCACTTCTGCGTCTTTTTGTAAGGGTACGTTATCTGCTTCCCACCCTCTCCCAGCCCTTTTCATGCATCTCACCAAGTGATCTGCAGGCTTCCACCAACAGTGACCGCCACCAGCACCCACAGGTGCACAGAAACCTTTCCGTGAATATAAGGAGCACCTCAAGGACCTTAGGAACAGCACCCACATGTGGGCAGCCGGAAAAAAAAAAAAAAAAAAAGGTCTCTGCGCAGTGAGGGGAAGCTTGGGTTCCCGAAATAAAGTGGGAGCCTCGACGGACAAACATTTTTAGAATCACTGCGGCAATGGGTTCCATGCATCTGAGGATGAAAGCTGGACAATCTGGACTCAACCCAGTTTCCTTCACAGCACACAGAAACCCCTTCGAAGCTATGAATATGCCACCAGCATCGTTGCTGAAGCCACCAGAGCCCGCGTCCCACACGCATCTATCCCGGGAAGCTCTGCCCCGCGCTGTGCAAGCCCACTGTGCTTGCTACGAAGGTCTCCCCGGGGCCTCCCCGTGGCTTTAGCAGCAGGGCTTGGGGTGCTCAGAGCTTCACCCCAAATCCACCACGTGGGAACACGCTTGGTCAACTTGGCAAGACTTAAAAAAGAGAAAAACAAAACCAGGCAAGGCTGAACCCCAGACAACACTGGGGCAGAGGGAGGAAGGGGTGGGCCAGCCCCTGGCTCTGTTCCAGCCCAGGATCGAGCTGCGATCAGAGGAAACGACACCACGACCTTCTTTTGTGACCCATGTGTACAGCCAAACGCAGCCCGTCTCGTTGCGTCTGCCTACCACGGGGACAGCGGCTCAATTCAACTACGTCACATCCGTTCACTGACGAAAGTGGCGTCAGTGGAAACACCTGGCCGCGGCTGGCACAGAGCAGACTCCGGTCAACGTTTCCAGAGGTCTGTCCGCATCGTGCCCAGTGTCCGCTCACCAGTATCCTACCACCTTAGGTTCTGCTGACTACTCAAAGCTCATCCTTGAACTCCAACTCCCAGCAAACCAACCCCACTTGACAGGAGAAAATTCATCCGCTTTGACTTTCTACAACAGCCAGCCTGAAACACAGTAACACAAAGGAAACGTACTAAAAAGCATGCTCCCTTTCTATCGTAACGGGGCAGCTGACCCTCCTGCCATCGCGACCCCGAAAGCGGCCCTCCCGTTTATTCCTGGAGAAAACGCAGAGCTCCGTCTACACTCAGGGGTGTCAGCGTGGGCCCCAGAGGTGCCGACCAAGACGAAGAAAGACACCCACCAAGTTCTCTATCAAAATAGAGCAATTTATTCAAGACACTGAATATGATCTGTTGATTCTCTCTTGAAACAAATGAGCTACGACGCACAAGGTGATTCTCTTTCTGGGAGTGCGTGAGGGTGAGGGGCGGGGGGGAGCACGAGACGGGGGCCGTGTGGATGGAACAGAATCTGGAAAACGCGGACAGAAGCACATCTGGCTGCACGTCTGACACAGACAATAAAACCCGCAGAAGCCAGAATTCACCTCAGTGAGCGGCGGGAGGAATGGTTCTGCGTTTGACAAGAAACACGATTAAAAAAGAAAAAGGTGGAACAGAGGTTAAAAGGGAAAACAACAAGGAACAAAAGCAGACCCTTACGTTTGACAAAGTGCACTTCACTTGGCTCCAAGATCTATTTTTAGAAAGACAAAACGAACGTCACGTTCTGGGTGTCACGTGGGGCCAGACGTGCCCCGTGGGGCAGCATCCCTTTCCCAGGTGTGCGCAGAATGAGTTCTCAGTCACCGCAAACCCAACCGAAAATCCCGGGGAGAGTCGTTGTGTTACTCCTGCTTTCAGAATCGAGGTCCCATTTGGTCACCGAGACTGAGGCTTTTACTTCCAAGTGTTAGAAGCTGTACACGACGCCCAACGCTAACACGAGCCACGGGGCACCGATGACAGGGACGCGTCCGCTGAGCGCTGGCTGGCACGGTGCAGCTGGTAAGCAGCGTCTGCGGCTCAGGGCACGGCTGCCGTCCTGCTGAGAGTGGGGACGGGTTTCCAGGGGCGCTGGCTGCCTCCTCGTCTTGCCTCCCTGGGGCCCCTGGGAGGCTCCCTCCCAGTGGCCGGCCGAGGACGCCAGGAACGCGGACGGTCTGCCTTCCTTAGCCTCAGGTCACTGCCAGGGCCGGGATCGAACCCCGTGTCAGCGGCCTCACAGCCCTCGGCTCCAACCCGGCAAGTCCCAACTGGTTCAGATTTACCAAGAGGCTAAAGTCGGCGCTTGGAGACCCTGGGTGCGACCGTCCGGTGAGCATCGTGTCGCGAACCGACCGTCTTCACCCGCCAGCAGGCTTTGGCTCGTCAAACGCAAACTGTGTCCTGACCCTGGACAGCGGATGCCTGCAGACGTGACACATTTCCATTGGGTGAGGGGGTCCAGATGGTGTTCGTCTAGACCCCCCCGAGCTGCACCCCAAACCTAGTACCTTCTTGGTGGCAGGGCGTTACCAGTGCGCCCGGGGACATCTGCCATCTTCACAGACGGCAGTGGAGACCCTGGAGGACTTTGATCTTCTTAAAGGCCAAGCGTTTAGGCAACAGGTCCCAAGTGAAACGCTCCGCTCCCACATAACCAGGGCACGTGTTGGTCTCCTGCAGACGGGGCTCGAGTAACTCACAGATCCACGGAGGCCCATAAATGATCCGAGGAAGATGAATGCACTCTGGCTCGCGGGGCTGGTCCCGGGACAACCCGAGGCTTGCAGGAGGGCCTGGTCTGCTCTGCCCGTTAGCTTTTGACTCCACGGACAGACAGCACCCTCTAAGTGACACCGGGCCTTGTTGCTGGAACACACACACACGGCTGCACCCTGCCTGCCGCCAGCCCCCCGGGCCCGGCCCCCTGCCCCATCCCAGCCTGTGGCTGCAGGAAGACGGACGAACCCAGAGGCCGTCTTCCGCTGCTTCCCCCGCTGCTAATTTAAAAGATGGGTCAGCGTCGGGTTACGACAACAAAAGTACAAAGGTCACCTGATCCAATGAAAGGAAAACTCCTCTAGGAACACAAAGCCACGTTTAATTTTTTAAAAACAGTAAAAAGATTCATTATTACAAAAAGAAAACCTTTCTCCTCCTCTGTTGCAAGAGGAAGAAACTATGAAGGGGACAGAAATTATTAGTGACACTCTACCTACGGAATTCACCTTCAGGACCGAAAACCTCTCTCCCTGTTCGTTTTTGTCGATATTAGACCCAGTGAGATCCTGGAGCCCATCCCGTCAGCTGTGCAAGGACCAGCCGAGGTGCTCTTGGTGGGGGGACCACAAGTGGCCCCGCGGCCCGAACGATGCCAGGCGGCATCCTGCCCAGTGGACGGCTGTGACGGCCCCTTTCACGCCGCTGGTCCTGGGAACACTTCTTGGGTCCAAAGGCACGCTTCTCCAGGTCTCTCCTGCTGCCTACTATGTGGTCAACACACCCTGAAACACGCCAAGGTCGTCTTCGAGCTGGAAGGGCCCGGAGTTTCCTCTCTGCTGTAGAACAGTCCCAACGCCGACCCCAGAGCTGGCCCCTTCCCACACAGATTCCTCACTGCCTCTCGACAGGCTGAAAGTGAAGGGAAAAAGCTACCTCAGACCCTGCCTGCGTCTTCCTAAACTTTATTTTTTTTTTTAAATATGAATCACACAAAGCTCTCTATGTCTGATGGCCATTTTAGGATTTTAAAATTGTTTTAACATAAAAATATTTTTTTTTCTCCAAAAATACTCTGGGTTCTTTCTCTTATAAGTCACTTATTTTTTTCTTCCTCCTGTAAAAAGTCCCCCTGCCCTGCCTTCTTACATAAAGCACTTATTATGCGCCAAAAGTGCCCTTGAGACCTAAGATGGGAAGCAACTATGAGGAAGGGGCGGAGAGAGTGCGCGAGGGGGAGGGGGGAGGGGAGGGGAGGGCGAGAAAGCCCCGCCTGTCAGAGACTCTGTGAGGGCGTGATGCCAACCAGGACCACGAAGGAAGGAAGGAAGGAAGGAGGTGGAGGGGGCAGGCGACATCAGCAAAGAAGCAACAAACCCAAAACAGTTTCCACCTCAGACCCAAGGCCCCCAGACGACAGGATTCCAGCCCATAGAAAAACCACGTGACAAAGAGTCTAGAAAATAGAAAGTGTTGGGATTACAAAGCTGCCCGTGTCATCCGTACAAACTGGTCTTTGAACATCCTGGTGAGAGTAACTGTAGTGTCCAAATTTTTAGGAAGGAAAAAAAAAAAAACCCACCACGTGAGGAGTTCCCCACCCCTCTTTTGGTTTATCACAGCATTTTTTTTCTTTTTCTTTTTGGCACAGTTTTTTTTTTTTCTTTTCCTCTCAGCCATCAGAGCCTGTTCTGGATGGAAACCAAACCGTGCACTGTCTAGCTGGTGGCTTCATGCTTCCCAGGCTGAATGTTCCAGGTGGAAACCATTCTTTTCCCCCTTTGATATGACTGTGTGTTTGTTTTTGTTTTAAACTTCTTGATAAAGATTACAAAAAAATAGAGACTCCTGTGGCCAGGGATGAGTTGATTTCAAAGTACACTCTAAGGTCAAGTTCATACAGTTTTGGAGCTGACAGAATCGTGTTTGAATAGTGCTACAACCCCACACATTCACTGCTGGTCCGTTAGAATTCTCTTCTTGTTTCTGAAATACTTCGTGTTTACTTTCGCAGATCTAAGACACACACCTGGAAGGAGAGAGAAAGTTCCTGTTATCTCGAGACACGACACAAGACGCCTTTAGAGCAGAGGATGGCAAACGGCCCATGGACCAAATCCAGCCTGTTACCCACTTTTGACAAAGTTTTATTGGTACACAGTAGAGAGGGTTCAGAGCATCTCTAACGACAGGCTAACGTCTGAGCATCTGACCAACCAACCCCAGGCAAACAGGACAGAGGGGAACAGCCAGGTCAAGGGCTATGCTGGGAACTAATGGGGTGGCCACAGCCATGGGCGGGTGTCACAGACCAGACACCGACGTGGCGGGGCAGAGGGCAAAACACACCTGAGCACACATCTGGGGCCGGGCTGACATCTGGCCAGCCAGCCCATTGCCACCTGCCCTACAGCTCATGGCAGTTCCAAGTGCAGGCGTGAATCCAAAAGCTAGACATCTTAGGGGATCAGCAGAGGGCCACCGGGACCCCGGAGACCCGTGGAATGCAAAGCCGGGCCTTTATCAGCAGAGGGCCCAGCAGGCTGGGAGCCAAGGCAGGACCAAGTTTCTCAGCCTCGGCACCTGCGCTCCTTGGGGCCGGTCACGTCTCTCCTGTGGGCGTCCTGTGCCCTGCAGGAGGTCTGAGCAGCAGCCCTGGCCTCCGCCCACCAGATGCCAGTAGCCCCCCGACCAGAGCGGTGGCACCCAAAACGCCTCCAGACGCTGCAGATGTCCTCCAGGGGGCAGAATCACCCCGGCTGCGGACCACCAATTTCACCGAGAAAACGCCATTCAGGAAGTCAGAGAGACGGCTGCTCCCAGAGGCCCAGCAGTTTCCTTCACCAACACACTGGCCGCGGCGCTCGGAGGCCACCACAGCGCCGGAAGCCCCCGCGGGTATCAGGGGTCTGACTTTTCGCGTCTCCACCGCCGAGCCCTCCGCCCCCCAGGAAACTACGGGTGCTGCTTACGGAGCCGTCCGACGCGCTGGCGCCCACTTTGTCCCCTCGGGCGTTCCAGCACACCTCGAAGATGCCGCCGGTGCCTCGGTAGCTGTGGACGAGACTTCCGCTCTGCAAAGCAAAGCCACCGTCACTCGCGATGCAGAGCGCCGACGTGGACCCCCAGGGTGTCGGCACAGAAACGTTCAAACATAGAAGCTAACGGAGTTTTCAGTGGCCGTAACGCGCCTCTCAGACCTGCTGCCAGGGGGGCACAGCTGACCTACGGCAGCCCGCGGAGTCGACCTAAACATGTTGCAGCCGAGGTCACGCCTCCCAGGGGTCATTCCCGGGGGCCAGCGACTGAGGGTGGCAGGGGGACTGAGGCAGCCGGGGAAGGGGCACGTCAACAAGATCTCGCGTGTGTTTATATTTAGAGAAGGTGTCCATCGCACTGAAGATTAAAGAGACCCTCGACATGTCTCAAAGAGTTCTGTGACTTATAAAAAAAAGTAAATAAAGGGGTAAAATGATTTAATGACTTGCTGACAGCAGGAGTTATCTAACTGATGATGTCATTTCAGAAATCCATCCATCACTATTTCCAGCAAGAGCTCCATGAACGGACGGCTACACGCTAATGTCTGTTTTCCGGGTGGCCCATCTGGGGCTCTGAGGCTGGGCTCGGCACCAGGCTGGCTCCACGTAAGGGCTGTCGTCGCCTCTTACTCGCGGAGAAGACGTGAGCACGTGAGGCGGCTCCTGGGAAGCCTGAGGTCTCAGTGGACCCCCCCCGGCCCCCCCCCCCCCCCGCCCCGCCAGCTAACGTGGCTCCCGCACCGCCCCCCCTGCACCAGCCACAAGGGGGAGCGGGCTTGAGAAAGTACATCCATCCAAATGCCACCCAGGCCTAAAGGAATCAGGAAGGAGCGTGGGAACAAACAGGAGGGGAGGGATTTCCCTGGCGGTCCAGTGGTTAGGACTCCGCGCTTCCACTGCAGGGGGCACGAGTTCAATCCCTGGTTGGGGAACTAAGAGCCCACGTGCTGCACAGGGCGGCCCAAAAATACAAAAACAAAAGACAAAACGAAACAAACAAACAAAAAAACCCCCAGAAAACCAGGAGAGGAGAGGCCATTTCATCCATCCTGAGGCCACACAGGATGGATTGCTGGCTGTCTGCAGTAATCCCTCCCATAGCACATTTCCCTCTTCCATTAGCAGGAGACACAAGAGCCCAGTATACTCAAACCCCGTCTCCTTTTACTTCTGTGACAGCAGAACCAACAGGGACATTCCTGCTGCTACCCAAACATAAAACACTTCCCTTCAAAAAATCAAAATGCCATGACAACAGCCAACGAATATTCCCCATGGTCCTTGATTTTGTTCCCTGAAGAAGCTACAGGAGCTGGTGTGGAGCAGAGGCGGTCAGGGCTGGCCTCCCCCCGGACGGCCGTTCCCCCTGGAAAGCTCGGGTGGAATGCCACTTCCGACCTAGACCTCAGTACCCACAGGGCAGCGTCTCGGGTGGGAAGATGACTGGGTTACGATCTTCCAAGGTGACTGCTCATGCCCAAGAGAAGGAAGAGGCAGGTGGAGGGCTTACCCGCCAAGGACTCAGAAAAAGCAACGAGTCGATGGGCGTCCCTGGCGGGGAAGACCGACCGCCCCCACGGAACACAGGGCAGATGGCACCGGGTCTGGGGTCCACCCGGGGAGCTGGGGTTTGTGTCACGGCTCCGCGTCTGAGGTGAGGCATTCCTGAGCACACACTCATTCCCTGGTTGCCGTTCCGGGCGTGGGCCACCAAAAACACGACTGTTGGGGGTGCTCCCTCTGGAGAGGAGTGGGCAGTGGGAACCAGGGAATTACCTGAGTGTTCCAGATGTGCACACACTTGTCAAAGGAGCCGCTGGCCAAGTGCTTCCCGTCGGGGCTAAAAGCTACACTATAGACTGGTTCCTGGTGTTTGGTGAGTGTGTGGATGCAAACACCCCGCTCCACGTCCCACAGTCGAACTGTAGAGTCGAACGAAGCACTGGAAAGACGGGAGAGAAAACGTCACCACAACACACGCGGGTTCCCGACTGTTTCCCTAAGACGCGGCACGGACAGCGGGCACTGCTCTCCCTTCCTGGCTCTTACGTTTCGAGAGACAACAAGCGGGTACACTCTTCCTCTTCTAAACCGTGAACCAGATACACTGAAAACAAAGCCACGGTCGTAAAACAAATCTTCTCCTTTTGTTGGGTGCTGTTATGAGGGAAACAAACTGACGTCCACACTCATTTGTCTGTGTGTTTTTCTAAGATATGAATGATACGTACTTTTGTATTCACTACATTTTCTAAAGTGCTCCCACAACTTACCAACACAACATCTATCGTTGCCAACTAAAACAGTGCTGAGAGCCGTATGTGGGGAAATACCAAACCGAGCGAGTACAGAATTAAAATATAATTGCATCCAAATACACAATCGCACTCCTGGGAGCTGCAAATTTCAGTAATTTCCAAATTTGAAAGAAGAGTACACAGCACAAAGATGCTTCACCCGGCGCTCCTTCTCTCTGTAGGGGCTTCCAGGCAGCAGCATGTCCCTCTATGCTCGTTAAGTAGAACGACCGCTTACGCTCGTAACGGGTGCCACGTGATACAAAGCACCTTCCGAGTTATAAAGAAAATCTGTACCCTAGACATTTAAGTGGATTTCACGACAGTTACTTGAAATAAGAGAGTAACAGCCTTCGTGTCTTTCTGGATCGGCCTTTCAGCCGATGTGGGACTTCCGTCCAGTGTTTTCTAACAGGTGGCCTGGGGTCGGTCCTCTCAGTTCCAAGAGTCCTTGCTGCCGGGCGAGGCCGCCCACCCCACAGCTACACCACAAAGACGGAGGGCTCTCCCTCATTTATAGGAGGGCCATGCCACCTGCCACTTCTCCCCACAACCCTGTTCTCTGCACCTATACAGAACCAACCCACTCGTGCTTCCTGGCAGGGAAACATTCCTTGCAAGCCTGGTCTTTCCCAGGCCAAACAGCTAAACACACACCCACGCTCTGTTGGATCACGGTCTCCGGACCCCTAAGTAATCCGGAAATTCAGCCTCAGAATCTCTTTAGTTCGTTTTTCTAAAGGTTCGTGTTAAAATATCATATTGGGATTGGAACGTTATATCGTGCATGGGGTCCAATGAGCGCGGGGACAAGTCTGCTGACCGCAGCCTAAGTGACGTAGCTCTGCGGAGGCCGCTGTGGTGACCTACAACCACTCTTCCCAATTCTGGCATCTGACTGACTAGCCACTCCTCTGCCTCCAACGCTGGTGTCTTGGCGGGAGGGGGGCATTCACTGTATAAACGGTTAGGTCAGATCTGGCTGCGGCTGGGGAGACTTTACCACCATTCAGCATTCTCACCACCTGCAGCTCCAAGTTGAACCAAGTACACCGAGCCCGAGGTCCAAGCTGAATTGTTTCCTTTCTCCATCAGGAAAGCAAAGCGCCGGGGGCCCGGACATGTATTGATTCCTCTCACCAGCCTCATGGTTAAGACCGTCCTTACCTCAAGTTAGCCGTCACGTGATAATTTATGTCTCGGGGCCCTTTCAAAATCAGCCGCCTCTCCGTTCTTTGGAAGGGTGTAAGCACATTTGGAAGACAACTTGGCAACATTTTCTGGGCTCTCTGGATATGAATAACGTTTCCCGGCCATGTTGCTGGCTCAGCCACAGTGAGCACGGCTACTTTTAGGAACCGAGACCGGGCTGAGGGCTATCTCCCCTTTACCTTGCTAGCATGATGTTGGAGTTGGGGTTGCTGGTGGCTGGCCCGGTGGGACTCCACTTTATGGTATATATTTCTTTGCTGTGAGCTTGAAGGTCATGAACACACGTATCCTGCTTCATACTCCAGATCTAGAGAACACATTGGGGACAAGGTGAGCAACGGCTGCTTCTCCCACCGGGGGAGGTTCTCCACCATCCCTGCTGGGAGCGTTCCTTAGGTTCCCGCCTCTGGGAAGCTCACGCCCAGTGGGGTGGGCAGCTGGCAGACTGGCCAGCAGAGGGGCCGGCTGAACACTAGGGGGCGCCCATGAGAAAGGCCGCAGGAAGGGCAGGATGAAGCAGGAGGTCACTGCAGGACAGCGACTTGCCATTTGCCAAGCGGGAACAGCGCTCAGAACAGAATATGCAGCTGGGGGAGCAGTGAATGTTAAGACCAGCACTGAGTACAGGGGGTCGTCTAGGGTCAAACGGCTCAGCCTTTTAGAATGCTTTACCTTTAATGTCATGTCATCAGAGCAGGATGCTAGCAACATCCCAGAAGGGTCCCATTTGATGGCATTGACCTCATTCTGAAAGAGAGCAAAGGGTTTCAAAAAGAAAGAAGGGCCTGGGCGCAGTAATACAACCTTCCAGCAGGGGGAAGGAGCGCACCGTCCTCTGCAAAAAAGCCTACTTGCATCCACCCTGGATAGAAAAGAACACGCCCAGGCCACGTGCACATGCCCCCTTTCCTTACTCCGCCTAGCTCCGTGATACAAAATGTACAGCCGTGTGCCACACATAACCAGCCACCCCCATCTCAGTTCTCTAAGGAAAAAAAAACAAAAAAAAATCACAACTAGGAAGGAAGCCAAATGAATTTACACAGAGTAAGGGCAGTACGTAAAACCAGGAAGACCTGTAAGTTATTTTAAAGCTGACTCGGAAAGTCATTTTCCTGCTCACTCTTGATACAGCAGCTGCCCGCTCTGTCTAAATCTGTCAGGACATGTCTCTTTTGGTGCTGAGTGGAGGGGGAGGAAACGTAAAGAAGCAAGGTTGCCAGAGGGGTAAACCCAGGCCCAAGACGATGTGACCTGAACACACACACGCAGACGAGCACACGTTACCTGGCTACTTCCAGAGCAAACAGAGCCAAGTAAACAGAACGCCGTAACTCGGCCCATATGGAAAGCTCTAGCAGGGGGGGGGGGGGGGGGGGGGGGGGCGGGGGGGGGAGGCGCAGAAAGGAACAAGGCCGCAGGCGGCCTTCCGGTTCTGGAGGCCAGGGGACCTCGAGGCTAAATCCTGGAGGACGAGGCAAATGCTCCCGTGGGCAAGGGAGCCGCCTGCAGCTGAGTGGAGGCGGGGAACTATGTGCCCAGCGGGGTGGGCCGGGGAGAGACGGCGGGAGCCAGTCGCGGGTCTCGGGCCTCCCATTTCTAGTAGGGGGACCGTGGAGCCCCGTCCCGTTCCCTCATGCCTGTTGCTGCAGCCTAACAATTAACTCATTTCACACCCATAATTAACTTCCCAATTAATCCCACGCTGCTAAGTGCTCTGGTTTGGATGATAAATGGTAATGGTCACGCTACTTGCTAAGGGCACTGAGTGCTGAACGGTGCGAGACAGGGAGGGATAAGGCTGCGTCTGTGTTCCATGTGGTACCCGTGGTGGAAGGCCCAGAAAAAAGGGAGGGATTGGAGCCTGCAGTACAAGGAGCGGGTCTGTGGGTGAGCCCGGGAGGTCGAGGCGGTCGGACAGAGTATGTGTGCACAGGCAAGCGGACCCAGGAGGACACCAAGAGAGGCGGTGCCTGGTGAGAGGTGCGCACCGGGGACAAGGGCAGCGTGGGAGGCTCTGAGTGTAACTGCTGAGAACAGAACCCGAGGGCGCATCTCCAAGGGCCTGCCTGCAAGAGGGAGCTGGTGCCCACTGACTGTCCCCAGTCGAACCCCCTCGCATCTTCCAGGGTGCAAGTGGACTTTCCTCTCCCTCCCTCTGCAGCCCAAGTCACAATTCCCAGAAAGCACCCAGAAACGGCTCACGGGGTCTCGGGAAGAAATCAGCTCAACTACATTTAGCTCACAGCGTGTGTGGAATGATGGGCTGCAATGAGACCCGTTTAAAGAGCCAGGTGGTGCGATGGCACAAAAGTCCCGAATGGGGCATAGGGCAAGTCACAAAGATTTCCTAGTGAAAGCTCGGGGACGGTCTAGGCGTAGAGGAGAAGTAAGTTTAGGTCAGAAAAATTAAAAAAGAAGGGTCTGTTTATAGACACGACAAGATGGTAACGGGACAACTGGTCCCTGGGCTCTGAAAGAACCTTCTTTTGGAAGCAGGGACCTGTAGGGACAGATGCTGGAGGAAGTGGGTACTAAGGGAACGCAAGTGCCAAGGACAACGCAACTTATGTCAGGTAAGTTAGTGGCAAGGGACGCCGTGAGTCAAAGGTGGGGAACAGTGCAGGTGTGAGGCGCTCAAAGCCAGCAGGTCCTCCAGGAGGACCGGGGTAGAGGCGGGGGCGTTGCACACTAGAGGGATCTGCCAGGGAAAGGCTGCAAAGAGCCTCATGGGCTATGCGGGAGGATCTGATGATGCATCCAGAGAACAAAAACGCTAATTTGAAAAGACACACGCACCTCAATGTTCACAGCAGCGTTATTTACAATAGCCAAGACATGGAAGCAACCTAAGTGTCCATCAACAGATGAGTGGATAAGGAAAATGTGGTACACACACACACACACACACACAGAGACACGGAATACTACTCAGACAAGAAAAGAATGAAATTCTGCCGCTGGCAACAACATGAACTTGGAGGGTGTTGTGCTTAGTGAATAAACTAAGTCAGACAAATATCGTACGCTACCACTTATATGTGGAATCCAAAAAAATACAACAAACTAGTGAATATAAGAAAAAAGAAGCAGGGCTTCCCTGGTGGCGCAGTGGTTGAGAGCCCGCCTGTCGATGCAGGGGACGCAGGTTCGTGCCCCGGTCCGGGAGGATTCCACATGCCGCGGAGCGGCTGGGCCCGTGAGCCATGGCCGCTGAGCCTGCGTGTCCGGAGCCTGTGCTCCGCAACGGGAGAGGCCACAGCAGTGAGAGGCCCCCGTACCGCAAAAAAGAAAAAAAAGAAAAAAGAAGCAGACTCACAGATACAGAGAACAAGCTAACGGTTATTGCTGGGGAGAGGGAAGGGGGAGGGGCAAGACAGGGGGAGGGGATTAAGAGGTACAAACTATTACGCATAAAATAGATAAGCTACAAGGATATAGTGTACAGCACAGGGAATATACCCAATATTTTATAATAACTATAAATAGATTATAATCTTCAAAAATTTGAATCGCTATGTTGTACACCTGAAACTTATATAATATTGTAAATTAACTACACCTCGATAAAAAAAATTAATTAATTAAAAAAAGGAATTCAGTGAGAAGTCAGCTGGTGTCTTGAGTTTCTTGGATTGAATGTTGTTTTCCACCAAATTTAGGAAAATTTGGCAAAATCATCGTTTCAAATAATTTTTCTGTTCCATTCTTTTCTTCTCTCTCCATTACACATATATGCTAGAGCTCTTCACACTGTCTCGTAGGTCATTAAGTCTCTATTCATTTGTTCAATCTTTTATCAGTTCTTCAAATTGGCTAGCTTCTGTGATCTCTCTTCAGGTTTACTAACCTTATTTCTGCAATCCCTCCACCATCCATTAAGATTTTCACTTCAGACATTCTACCTCTCAATTCTGAGATTTCCCCTTGACTGTTTTCAGAACAGTTTTCCTTCCTCTGCTGCCCTTCTGCATCTATTCACTCATTACAAACAGCCTTTCCTTTGTTTCCTCATACAGTCTAATAATAGCTACTTTAAAGTCTTTCCTGCAAAATCCAACATCTGGCTCATCTCAGGTCACTTTTTTTTTTTACACTGTCTTCCCAGATGGATAACTGGGTTAGCCAATCACCTGAGATAGCTACAACAGCCCAAGGAGCAGTGGGCTGCACAAGAACTGGTCTGCAGTCACAGCATCCTTTAACTCTAGGCAGAGAGGAGCCAGCTCCCAGCTCCCAGCACATTCGCACGAACCTGAGCCCCACAGTCAGAACTCGCACTTACTGTGTGTCCCTGGAACGTTTTGACCGGGCGGTCACAGCCGAGTCTGCAGACGTGGATACACATGTCTGTGCTACACGAAGCAAAGGTAGTGTTGTTCTGCCAATCCACGTCAAGGGCAGGGGCTGTGGAGCAGCAAATGGTCGGGGGAACATTTGCACTTAGCAGTTGTGCACAGAGCTCAGGCGACTTAGAAGAAGTAACAGCATCGTCAAGATGCCTAAGGACAAGATAAAGCAGCACCCCCAGTGTGAACACATCCTCTGTCCCCCACAGACCTGAAAATCTGTCCTTCCCATTTGGAGGGATGCCCAGAGGCCTCCGGAGCGAGACCCCGTGACACCTCGGGCGGCATAAGCGCAGTCTCTTGCTCCCCTGGCACAGGTGAGACAGGGTAGGGGAGAAGCACGCCGTCTTCTCCCGCACCTTGCCGCTCCCAGGAATATCACTGGGCTGGGCTGACTGGATGTGTTTCAGATAGAGAGGAGAGGAAAAAGATTTCATATCCTGTGTTCAAGGTATCCGCACTGAGAAACTCTCCCACAGGGACTTCCCTGGTGGTCCAGCGGTTAGGACTCCGTGCTCTCCCTGCCGAGGGCCCGGGTTCCATCCCTGGCTGGGGAACTGAAATCCCGCAGGCCACGTGCCGCGGCCCCCCAAAATCCCCCACCACACAATGAATGCATTCCACCAACTGGAGGATGCTCATCGTTGACAAGGGGACAGCCTGAGGGGACGCAAGTGACCTTATGGTGAACGCTGCCTCTGGCTCCTGGGCCTTTCTCAGGGGCGAGTGGCTCCAAGAGCTCTGTGAGGTTTGGGGGATGGTGACGGCCCTCTTCCCTTCTCCCGACCTCCCCGAGAGACGACTAAGCATCTTTGTTCTCTCCACACGCTTCCTTGTTTCTGGACAAACAGAGGGTTAAGTCCTGCAAGCCCCTGGTGAGATCTTCATCGACAGATCGATCCCTGACCATGTCCCACGTGTGTTTCTTACAGGCAGGTCAGCACTGAATTGGGAGAAGAATCCAGCTTCCTCAGGATACGCTAACTCGGACTACCCCTCCCGTGCTCAGCCTTAAAGCAAGAGGTGCACCCGTGCACACGCGCCAGCCTTCCACAGCTGCAGTGCTGGATCCCCTTGGCTCCCCTGTCCAGCTCTGTCCCCACAGAGGCTACGGGTGGGAGGATGTGGCCGGGAGGCAGCAGGCTCTTTCAACACCCCAGGGCGTGCATCTCTGTGTGTCACACCCCCTGCAGAGCGGTCCAGCATGGGCCCACGGTTTCTGCTGCATTTCCCACGTGTGCCCAGTGGAACAAAGGAACCGGATCCGCTTGGTCAGAAGGATGTTCCCGGGAGCCAGAGCGCGAAGAGCAAAGCCGCAGCTGCTGCTGTTTACGACACTGCAGGAGCCAAATCACGAATTCCTGGGCCAGCCTCTGCAGCGGGGTGTGCAATTAATACGCCTGGAAGAGGGACAATCTGGCGGGCGTTTCGGGGGCTGGTGACCAGCACCTGGCCGTTAAGAATTAACGTGCGCTGAACCCCTGCCATCTAAACGGAGGATGCTGTGTACTCAGGTGTCTGGCCCCATTCTGCGTCGATGCTGCTGCCAGGACCCTGCCCTGCCCCCGGGAGCTCACCATCCAGTGTGGGTGGGGCTAAGCTATTCTGGGGGTCTGTGTGGCCTCCCTGCCCACACTTGGCCAATCAGGTTTGACCGTCGGCAGCAGTCCAGGTACAGCCAAGCATTACTTCGCTTTTTTTTTAAAAAAAATTTAATTTTGAAATGCTTACGGAATCGCAGGACGCTGCAGAGATGTAATAGAGAGGCCCCACGTTGTACCCTTCCCCCACTGGTGGCATCTTATGCCCCTACAGTACAACGCCCAGACCCAGGAGGTGAACGCGCGCCACGTGTGTGCAGTGCGGCACTGTTTGATCACACGCGCAGGCCTGTGTAACGACCACCGCAGTCAAGATCCAGAACCCTGTTCCATCACCACGAGGACCTCCCTGTGCCACGTTACCAGCACACCGAGCCCCCCCGGACCACCCCTCAACTCTGGCTCCACATCTAACATTTCGTCATTTCGAGAATGTTATGTCAATGGCGTCATCCAGCATGTGACCCCTGCAGACGGGCTTTTTCCAGGCGGCAGAACCCCCTTGAGAACCTATCCAAGCCGTCGCGTGTTATCAGTAGTCGATTGGTAACTGTTCCTTGTCACTGCTGAGCGGGGGAACGCCGTCAGGCTCTGAGCTGACACTTCCTGCTGTTGGTAAACAGCGGACGCGCCCCACCAGGCCTTCATGGCGAACACCTACGGGGCAAGGCGGTTTCACAGATCAACCCATCAAATACTAAGGAAAGGTGCCCCTATCGCTCTCCCTGCCTGCGCTTCCTCCTGAAAAACAGCACCGTTTCTTTCCTTCCATTCTGGACAGTCTCTACCACACCACTTGTCACTACAAAGAAAGAGCAGAGAACACACAGAGCTTCCTGCCCCAGCAACGGGATACGGGTCGACCTCGTGGGCAGCAACACCGCAGGTGAGAAGCTCTCTCAGGATACAAGAGACATGTGGTCTGCGGGATGGAAAGCCGTCCCATGGACCTTGGGAATGCTCTGGGAATACTAATTTCCGCTGGAAGCCTTGGTACACGAACTCTTAAGATAAAACTGTTAGACGAACCTTACTGATGGCTATTTTGGGCAAATCATCCTCTGAAAAACAGAAGCCAGAGCTCTCTTCATCACAGATATCCCCCACCACGTGCGCACGGATGTCAGCACACCTGGGGCTCTACGCCTCTGCCCTGTCACTGCATCCGTCCCGGCAGCAGAGGTAGGGATGGTCTTGGGATTTATGCCAAACACGATGGAAACCCACCAGGCTCACTTGCTTTGGTCTGCAGAGTCTACAGCACAGAAGTCTGACATGGAGACGACACACACAGATCAAAACCTGGAGGCTGGGGTGCCGGGGATGGGGAAGGGGGAATGGACAGTGAGCTCTTCATGGGTAAGGGGTCTCCTTACGGGATGACAGAAATGTCGTGCAACTAGACAGTGGCGAGTGCTTTGTATATTCTGCCCGCTCCAAACACACACACACAGAGACACAGACACACACAGGCACATACACACACACAGGCGCACACACACACACCCACAGACACAGACACACACAGACACACACACACACAGACACAGACACACACACACACAGACACAGACACACACACACAGACACACACACACACAGACACACACACAGACACACACACAGGCACACACACCCACACCCACAGACACAGACACACACACACAGACACAGACACACAGACACAGACACACACACACACACACACAGACACAGACACAGGTCGGGACGCCAGGCTGCCTGCTCTTGGAGCCCTGCCCATTTCCTCGTGGGGAAATATATTCTATAAAACGTCCACCAACTTCCACATCATCAACGGTATCAGATTAAAGCAACAAGAAAATTCACTGGCAGCCCCAGCAGGTGTCTCCGGTGTGGTCCCAAGGACAGCCGTGGAAGAGGTGGGCTGCCTCTCCGGGGTAGCGGGGTGCAAGCCGGCACCTCCCAGGTCTGCCTCCGTCAGGAGGGAACGGAGTGCCGCATGGAGTCACAGAGGCTGGCGTCCACGCGTGTGTCCCAGTCGTGTCAAGGCCTGGTCGGGACCTTTCCTCTTAGTCTGCTCCCTGCAGGACCACGTCCCCCGCGTGGAGCCCTCCCTGGGCACGGAGGAAATGCACCGTCCTGGGGAGTCCTCAGGGCCAGTCCTCTGGTTCAGACCGTCACCAGGCACCCAGGAATACCCAGCAGGAAAGCCCCTCTGCTCCCCTCCTAAACACTGTCCCGGGCCACCTGACACAGCAAGATGTTCACCCTGTACACACAGCGATTCCCTCTCAGTGGAGCAGACGCCTCCCGTGACGGGAAGCGGCACCTACGCCCTGCTGTCGACTTCAAGCCAGCTTCTCCCAACAGTTTATCAGTTTCCACCTCTGTCCTCAGATAAGAGACCACATCTAACAACAGGACTCAGTCCCACGGAACATGAAGCATCAGGGGGGAATCTGGGAACCTGGACTCCCTAGACCCCTGGCTGCCCCACGTGGCCTGGTGAGGACCCAACACACACACAGACGTGTGCGGTCGAGAACAGCAGCTACACATCCGTGCAGGCAAGACCACTGCAGGCCTGACGCCGCTCCCTGTAGGAAGGCTTGGCGGCAAGGATGGCGTTGGCCCGAGTCTGGGAATTCGGACTTCCCACCATGGCCTAACTGGTAAGAACGGCTTCTGTGCCTCCACCGTCTGTGCAAACAACGTGGTTTATACTGAATCCCACGCTCCTCCTGGGAGTGAAGCATTCGGGTGCAGGCGGGCACAGGGTGCCTACGAACCAGAAATGCTGGGCACCAGGCTCTGCTGACTTCACACGACCTGTCACACGCATGATCACCGCTCGCTTTCGGGGGAACCCAGCATGTCCTACGCGACTCCGTCAGGAGACAACCTTTGGAAGGTCTGGATCTCGCCCCGTGTGCCTTTGCCCTCTGCTGACATTGCTTTGTATCCTTTTACTGTAACACATCTGCGCTATGAATTCAGCTGCACGCCCTGGGAGTCGTCCTGGGTGAACTGCTGACGCCGGGCGAGGTCTTAGGGACGCCCCTGACACAGCGCCCTTGGGGCAGCAGCAGAAGGGAGCCCACACCAGTTCGGCTGGGGTTTGCAGCTTTGCAATGAAACTTTGGAGCGAGCGAGCACCGAGGGTATCTGTATGTTGGAGGCCTCAAGAGCAGTGCTTCCTGTGAGAAGGGTTTCCTCCCTACCAGCTATATTCCGTGCCTGCCATCCTCTAAGCGTTCACCATTACTTTAAGGGACACCTCCTAGGACTCTGAATTATTATTTTTGAATGACAAAGAATAAAAAGGGAAATTTAAAAAAAATACTCACCGGAATGAAACGGAAACTGCTGTTTGGCCTCTCCTGTGTGGGCATCCCAAATTATTGTTGTCTGTGCTCCGCAAAAAAAAAGAAAAAAAGTTAGTTACTATTCTTCTTGCAAAGTTTTCTCTAGAAAAATTTACGATATAAGAAAATGCAGTGAGCCCCTCTTTTTTCTAAAGCAGCACTGTCCAATCAACACTATATAAATAGCATGCAAGTCACACAGGAAGTTTAAAATGTTCAGTCACCACACGAAAAAATTAAAAAAGAAACCAGTAAAACTAATTTTAACAAAATTCATTTCACTCCAGCATGGCGAAAATATTATCGTTTCAACATAAGATCAATATACTCGTATCAACAAGATATCTGGCATTCTCTTTTTCACCCGTGTCTTTGGAACCCAGGGTGTCTCTTACACACTTAACGATCCGGAGGGTCACACTCATGAAGTTGGCCACGTGCGCTGGTTACTCCACCAGACACAGCAGCTGGAACTGATACTCGCAAAACTACCAGTTTTGGTGGGAAATCCCCCTTATCCCCAAACATGAAAAACTATTGAAAAAACTGTAACGATAAACACCTTTTTGGCACTTTTCCCAATGAAAAGCTGCAGAAATGGGTATTTCTGAAAATTCCCCTGACCGTCACTCACTCCGTGAATTGGGATCACTAGACAGAGTAGAGAATTGGGTTACACTGGGGTCTGGCACTGATTTATTGGTCTATATAGAAGGAGAAAAAAAAAAAAAAAAAGATCTCCTCCCCGGAAAACAAAGTAAATCACAAATGCTTACGAACGTACTAATGTTGGGAGACACTTAGGGAAGAAGCCATCTGGCAGCTCGATGAAGACCACTGGAATTAGTTCTTAATCAACTGGAATTTTCAACTGAATTGGAACCTTTACACCTCCCTGTCAATGACGTTTAATAAAGATTTTACTTTAAGAAGAACTAGTTCTATTTCGTATCGACAGCAGTAATTTTCAGAGGAAGTACTCAGAGCAATGAATATCTCTGAAACTTTTGGTCAGCTCTAGACCAATTAACAGTTTGCTTTTTGGGGGGGCCGCGCCGCAGAGCTTAATAGGATCTTAGTTCCCCAACTGGGAACTGAACCCGGGCCCTTGGCAGCGAAAGTGCGGAGTCCTAACCACTGGACTGCCAGGGAATTCCCAACAATTTTTTGTTTGACGGAGTATAACTGTTTTTCTTAATTGAGCCACTCACAAATCTGGCAAGGCAGAGAACATATAAACCCTTCCACAATTCTGATACAATTTCACCTACTACCATCAATAATTGTAACAACTTGTTGATGTTTTAACGTTAAATATACACTGGGCAAAAGAAAGTATTCCTTACACAAAAGCTTTCAAGAAACTGAAGTACATTTTAGCCACTTTGGGTTAAGCTCGCACTGAAGGTCAAAGTCAACATCCCTAAATTACATTTCCTCCCCGAGAACGTATCACTTTACAGAAAGCAACTATTATTCCTGCCACGGTTGACTAATCATGGTAGATAGTGTCTGACTCAGAGGCTACTAGAATTCCAAATGTGCATTTCCACTAACCATCCAGTTCATCGCCTGGTAGAAACAGAAGATAATCAGGTAGAAAATCCAGAATGATTATAAAAAACGGCCTCAGGGGCAGGGAGGACCTGAAGATGCAAAGAATTCTCTGGCAGAGTGTGAAAGCTACAGGGCAGTTGTTATTGGCGTCCAGGGCCTGAGTCTCCGATCAGACTTTATACCAATGTGTCCCGAGGCAAATTAGTGAAGTTCTCTGGGGCTCCATTTCCCCCTCTGTGAAAAGGGCCACATCATCCCAGTGAGCCCCGCCCCTCGCACGGGTGTCTACCTTCCTCCTGCCCTCAGGGAAGCCTGCGGTCTACAGGGCGATGCAACAAGTCATCAGATTGGGAAAACGGAAGCCTGGGGAGAGAAAACCGTTTGTGTTCCTAAAATCACTCTGGGCGGGTGGGGTACGTTTATGCAGAGGACACCCCACGCCAGTGGGCTTCTTCAAGCAGTGGACAAACGCAATTTGGGGATTTTCTTCTTTCTATCAGTGAACTATGAACCTCAAGGTAAAAGGTGTGACGGGCCGGGGGAGAGCTTTGATGAAGGTCTGTAGAGCAGTCTACGGTACATGAAGACACGATGTGCTAGAAATGAACACTAAGACCAAAACCACAGAAGCAAACAAAACAGATCCCTCTGATTTCTTAACGGGAGGCAGAATTCTCAGAATTCGTAGAAAGCATGATGTTATCTGAGATTAAACATAAACAGGCACCTACAGATGACAGCAATGTATCTTAAGCAAACACTCACTTTGTCTACTCCAGCACTCAAAATGTAATTCCCCTTCTTGTTCCATTTCAAGGCAAAGATGGGGCCTTTATGTTGGCCTAAGGTGCTGGCCAGGTTACCTGGTACGTAAAACACAAACACAGCAAGCGGGGTGACTTCCGAGCCTCAGTCTGTCCCCCGGATGACGACAGGCCAAGCACCTCCTCTCCGACCCCAACACAAGGGCATCAGGACTTACCGTCTTCCGTCCATATTCTTGCAAAACCATCATAGGAACCTGTAGCCAACAGTGTGCCGTCACTCTGCAGGCCAGAGAGAAACACAGAGCGACAGAAGCAGCTTAGTAGGGGCAGCAGTGGAAAAGGGCCCCTCGCATTATCCCTGGGCGGCAGCACCTGACGTCAACAGCAGGTTCCCAGTCACGAGACTCACCAGTCACGCTGGCCTACTTGAGCTCGCACTGCCCTTCACTGAAAACGTGAGACCAAACAGGCTCCCCGCATACAACCATCAAGGAGGCGAGGGGGCAAGGAAAACGCATTGCAACCCCTCACCACTGACGACGTCCATAAAAATACGGTACGAAAAGTTATCGAGAGACTCCTGGAGACTTAGGTGAGCTCTTAGAAATATGTGCAAATGGGGAAGAGTGGTGAAATGCAGAATATGCATAAACATGATAAAGGGCAAGAAAATCAAAAGATGTTCCAATCAGAAAAAAAAAAAAGAAGTCAGAGAGCTCTGCGTCTCTCACGTGTTAAATGCACGTAACACAGGTGCTGAAGCGTCAGGGTGGAAAGTCATCTTTCCTTCGTGACGCCTCACAGAGCGCCAGCGGAACGGGTTCCCCGATAAAACCCCCAGACTCCATCCTGCCAACGTGTGGCTACGGAACACCCAGCTAGAGGCCCGCCAACACGGAGGGCCTCGGGAGGAGCGCTCAGAAACGGGGGCCAGCCCCCGGGGGCCAGCCCCAACGATACTGCCCCCTTCCTGCGTCTGCCCGGCTCCATCAGCACCACGGCGGCCCTCGCTGTGGTTTACAGACGTTCAAGTGTCTGGGCGGGGGCGGAGGCTTACGTTCCAGTCCAGCGAGGTGACGTCTTTGTTACTGGGGACGTCATGCCCCCCCTCCCGTATACAGTGCCTCAGCACGAGCTGCGTGGAGCCCCCGTTGCTGTTTTCGTTGAGGTTCCATATCCTTGCGGTTGAATCTCCAGATCTGTGCAAGGAACACACACAGCATTCAGCTTCCGGTCCCAGGGCCAGCAATGCTCATCACTACTTGCTGTCTGGCTAGGTCGGGCATCCTCGGCCCGGGGTCCTCCGTCTTTTCGATATCGCCGACTCACAGTGGTTTTCTCTTCCCGACCTTTTTTTTGCACTTAGTGATTTGAAATGTCTGTGCATTGCTCCCCAGCCCGCTGAGAAAACGGCTGGACCGGGCACTTCTGCACAGCCTGAGGTACTCGGGGCGCCCCAAGCCCTGGTCTGCACTCACTGGGAAGATGCCACCAACAAGGTACGGAGGGGGAGCGCATGTCCTGTGAGGGAGGACTCGGACACCCAGACCCTGGGCACCCCCAGCCGGACACCCTTACCCGGAAGCCAGGAGGTCACTGACAGGGTTCCAGGCACAGATGAACACCTCAGACTCGTGGCCCCGAAGGACGGTGGCTTTACTGGGTGGGATCTCCACGTCTCCGTCTATTTCCATTGGTTTCGAATGATTATCTGTCACGGGAAACAGGGAAAGACACAGGCCTGAGGGATACCAAGGAAACCTCCTCAGGGCACGTGGGTTTTACAAGCAGCCCCCTTTGCTGTCACCCATGGCGATGACAACCAAATCGTGGGTTCTGTGTAATTTAGCAGATACGTGACATTTCTTGACAGTCTCCAAATTTGACAGAGGAATAAAAACCGGTATTTACTCTCTATAACTAGGGCGAGGCTAATTTCTAACAACAGCCGGAAGAAGACTGGACAGAAGAGATGACAGCCAGCCGGCTCCTGAGCAGGCGGAAGGTTCCTTCTCTTGACGGGACAACGGGTCTTACCCGGAAGCACCCTGTGAGGTGCTTAGCTGTGAAGCGCCCTACCTGTGAAGCTACCACGGGGGCAGGCCATCATTCTGCTGGAAGCTTGCTACCCTCAACCCCTCAGAGTCTTGGGACTCAAGTGCTATCTTCTGACTGGAGTCGTCTGCGTACCATGCTTTTCAAGCCAAGCAGAACCACCAGGTTTCTGAACCCAAGCAGTCCTCCCTCCATATAACCCACAGGGTCCAGGCTCTGGAAGGGCGACAGGGCATGCTAAGTGCCACCCGGAAGAGACTCCCCCTGGGTAGTGGCCGTTTTCCCCCTCTGTGGCACAAGACAAAAGATTCTTGAAGATCAGAACGAACGATCACTTCAGAGACTCCATTCAGGCCACAGCCTGCCTCGTAGCAAGATGGGAGCAAAGAGCAGGTGGGACTAGTTTCCGGAACAAGGTGAGAGTCGGAAACCACCGGACGGTGTACGTGGGATGGGGTGCCGGCCAGCCCTCGGGTGAAAAGTAACGCTTAGGGACTCCTGAAACAAAGACCTGCCAGCCACCGGCGTTCCTTAAGGCATGCGACGGTCTCCACGTGGCCACACTCCCTTAGAGGTTAAGATTTAAAATACACGGTGCAATTTATAAGTTTGCAAAATTTCTGTCTCGGCGGATACAGAGGTTTCTCAGAGCTCACCAATTAGGATCGCTGCCTGGGGCGGAAGCCTAAAGACAAGGACACGTACCTCCTTCCTGTTTTCTTTATTTTGGGCGCCTTGAGGGATGTATCCCACGGGAGTGGGCAGCCCATAAATGACCTGTGGGTACAAGCCACCTATTTTTTCTTCTTCTTTCCCTGTCCCGTCATCTTGGACCTCGTTAACAGTGATCATGGGGCCTGCCGGCGGGAGGTCTTTTCATCGGACGCTAGACAGATGGGCTTCAAGCCACCCTGCTGTAACATAACCCGCGCTGCAGCCTGCCCCGGCTTCCTGCGCAGCGCTGCAGCTGCATCTCGACTCTAGCGGGAGACGGCCTGTGCCGGGGCGGGGGGATGAGCCGCCCCCGCAGGGGCGGCATGGCTGCTCGGAGGGAAATGATTTTCAAAGGAGGAAGCACACACACGCACGCACACACTCACGCGCATGCACACACGCACACGCACGTGCGCAATGCGCGCACACACTCGGAGCTTAGACCCTGAAGCCGTCTCCGAGTTGATACGCCGCGTGTCAAAGCGCCGGCAGGCTCCCGCGGTAAAGGTTCATGCTCTCCGACTCGTCTGCCGGACGCTTCAGGGCCATTACCTAACAGGGACCCTGCTGCAACCACCAAATAAGACGGCACTTGCTGTCTGTGCCGGGTGCCCTGTCAGTGACCGTGAGCTCCGAGGGTCAGGTCAGAGTTCGTCCGCGAGGCCGGAGGACGGTGCGGGGGCCTCCTTTTTGTGCCCGACAGTAATCACAGGTGGAACAAATGAGTCCTCAGAGTAGCACAACCTCCTAAAGCTGAGAGAATGCTGCGTCCAAGGATCTCAGTGAGAACAGAGCGCGAAGCCCTCCTGGCCACAGAACAAGCCAGCCCTAGACGCTGCCGCATACGCACCGCCCAGCAGGCAGGCCTGGAAGGGGTCTGCAGGACTTGCCCAGACTCAGACGAGGGAGAAGCTGCCGGAGCGCGAAGCTCTGGAGCCCCACACTCACTTATCGCATGCGCTCCGTTCTCTTCCCCGTTCACTGTGGCCTCGCCGTTCTTTGGTGGGTTCTGCTGGGAAACGGCCGCCGGGGCCGTCGGGGCCGCCGGGGCCGCCGCCGCCGCCGCCGTGGCCGCCACGCTGGCCTGCTGCTGCGCCAGCTTCTCCCGGAAGGCCTGCTGCCGCGTCTGCACCACGTCGGGCATCACCGCGTCAATCAGGGACAGCGACTCTATCGGACGGCCGTCGAACACCGTGCCGTCCTGCGGACAGAGCCCAGGCATAGATGTCAGCTCCCAGCGAGACGGGTGCGCGTCGGGGACAGACACGCAGGATCCCGGGAGCCGCGGGGCCGCCGAGCAGGCGGGGCCGGACCGGGCGTCCTGAGCCAGGGCAAGGGATCCCAGAGCGCGCAGGCGGGTAGGGGCCGGCAAGAGCGAGCGTCCATGGAGGGCCCGGTGTGCCTGCTGCTGCCAGAGGGCACCCAGCACTCGGTAAATACCAACCTGCATCCGGATACTTCCTGTCATGACAACAGGGCTACCCTGACGCGCTGGTCCTCAACAGGGGGGCGATTTTACCCCCCGGGGGACATGTGGTCAAGTCTGGAGGCATTTCTGGTTGTCACGACTGTGGAGGTGCTCCTGGCGTCTAGCGGATGGAGATCAGGGACGCTACTCCACACCCTCCAGGGCCCAGGATGGCCCCGGAGCAAGGAATGATCTGGCCCCCAAGTGTCAAGAGTGCCGAGGGTGGGAAACCCCGCCCAGGCGCTCTGACAGGTGTGGAACCGCTCCCCTTTGATAGGACAGGCGTCTCTTCGGAGACCGCAGGCCCAAATCAGACATTCCCACACCGCTCACGATATGATTCCTAACGCATCTGTCCGTCTGATGCACTAACACACACACGTCTGCTACCATCTGAAATGACTTCCTGGGATCAGGGCACAGACTAACACGGCCACGATATTCTAACAACAGCATTGTTTAGTTACAATTCCCGTTTTCCGAACTTCCCTGGAGTCTCTGGCTTCCATAGATAATGAAAACATTTCCATACACACTTAGTAACACAGGAGGGAGTTCTTTCCTTAGAAAGCGCTCCAGATATCACTCACACGAAACTCAGAGCCTCTCAGTGTGTCTACGGGACGTGCAAACACGTTTTAGCCTGTTTTCTCATAAATCAGGAAGAACTGAAGGACCTAAGTTTCAGCAACACAGCGTGTGAATGAAACATCACCCCAGCTGACTACAGGTTACTATACAATACTTGAAAATCAGGGAAACAACATAAAATAACAGAGAACATGGGAAAAGGAGCCAGTCACCTCACAGCTGCCCGGGTTCCAGCCACGGAGGGGCCAGTGCTGACCAACTGGTCGGCCGGCTTCTACGTCACCTTCCTTCTTCGTATATTCAAGCCCCAAGTGGATGATGATTTTGCAAAAGGCTGTAACTGCCCAGGGTGACAAAAAACCTTCTAGTTTAAGCTCTAAAAGCACACTGTCTCACTTTTAACTACCCGAAACCTAAGTGACAAATGAGATGACCTTTCGTTCTCCTCTGGACACACTGGACTTTGAATTGCCAAGAGAGAGAAGGTATGGGGGCCTCTCCGCGGATGAAAGACGTGGAAACTGGGGCAGGGGGCCACAGAGGCAGGGGGAAGGGAAATCCAATCTCACTCAGCATCACACAATCTGAGAGCCGGTGGGGCCTCTGGGGTCCTGTAACCCTATCCCCACACTTGTTTGTTTTGTGGAAAGAGAGACGCGACAGGGCCTCAAGTTGCTGGTGGAAGATCCCAGGCACCCAACGTAAGACAAGGAAAGAGGAGACTGCCCGTTGTTAGGCAAGAAAGAGCGCAGGGTAGGCAGACACTCAGGTGTTTTTAAGGATGTGGGGTTTTGGAAAACAGCAGAGGAATACACGTGACAGAACACAAGATACATTCCTTCCGTAGTTTTAAAAGCTGAAGAGAAAGTGGAGTTAAATGCTATGCATAAGACAGGCTTGTGAGGCAGACGCAAGAGGGAAGAGATTATGAGGACATATGTATATGTATAACTGATTCGCTCTGTTATACAGCAGAAACTAACACACCATTGTAAAGCAATTATACTCCAATAAAGATGTTAAGAAAAGAAAAAAAAAAAAGACAGGCTTGTAAGGGTGAGAGCAGTTCAGAAGGAGAGGGGATGGAGGAAACTGAAGGGTTCAGGAAGATCTTGGGCCCGAGGGTGGTGTGACCCGGGAAGGGGACACTTGGTGGTAAAGAGGGGCATGTGGGCAGTGGACGGCGTCAGCTGTGCAGGATGGACCGTGACAGGAGACGGGAAGTTGGGGCAGAGCAGCGTGCCAGACCGAGGTGGGAGAAACGAGGGCAGAAAGAAGGAGAGACGGCGGGAAGTGCGGTGAAAGTAAGAGGGGCTCAGACCGAGATGCAAGGGAGGCCTCGGACATCACAGGAGGCCCTGGGCATCTTCACAGTACGATCCCAAGAGCAAAATAGAACAGGGGAGACGGGCACTGTTTTCAACCAAAAGAGCCCATTTAAAAATTGGTATGAAGTTGGCCCAAGGACTCATCGTGCCCCAATCTATAAAGAGGGAGGGAACACTGAGCCCCAATCTATAAAGAGGGAGGGGACACAAACAAATTGGAGTGACTTAAATTTATAATTATGGATACAACTGCCCCCTTCCCCTGCAGCTCTTCAACGGGTAACAAAACCATCCCTTGGAATCCTCTCGAACACAACAGTCCTCATCTGTCCTCCGTGGTCTCTGGCTGTGCCCTCTGTCGGGTCCACACGAACCACAGATTCTAGGCAAATGTTTCCCAGGATCCCTCTTCGACTGAACTGCTCAAAATATTCCAGGGGGGGAGGGCGTCTTCTGTGCACGTGCAAGGCCCACACCTGTCCTGAAGTACCCCTGACCCTTGAACAACACAGGTCTGAACTGGCAAGGTCCACTATACGTGGATTTTTTTTTTTTTCCCAACACATTTACTACTACGTTTACCATTCGCGGCTGGTAGAATCCGCGGATGTGGCATCTGCGGATACAGGAGGGCCAACTGTGGGACCCGAGCACTACGGGTTTTGGTACCTGCGGCAGGTCGTGGAACCAATCCCCGGTGCATACCCAGGGATGAGCGTATAAAGCAGCTGCGGATCTGCTGCGTGTTTTTCCCATTTGGCAACGTAGTGTGACGTCAGTCCACAGCTGGCGATGTGCGCATGGATATGGAAAACGACACAACCACCTAAAGGGCCTCGGAAGATTGCTCCTTGGGTACAACAGAAGCGCCACCCCCCACTGAAGAAAGTATTTACCGCAAAGAGAGAAGGAACCCTAACCGACCGCGAGAGATGGCGGGGAACCGTGTGCTAAGGTGACGCGTCTTCCCAGCGCGCGCGCGATCCAGGGTGTGCGCGCGCACGATGCAGCGTGCGCGCGGCCTAGGCCCGCCCCGGGGGTGCACGTACCTCGTTGATGCTGATCTCGGCCTCCACATACTGCAGGCCCTTCTGCAGGATGGAGATGAGGGCAGCCGGCGGCACGAGAGTCCCATTGATGTTGGACTGGCTTATGTGGCTCTCGATACCGAACGTGAACGCCGAGTGCGAAAAACCTGCAGCAAGACAGGGAGGCCAGCGTTCCGTGAAGCCTGGACCAAGGGCGGAAGGCACAGCCACTGAGACCTAGAAGGCGGCACCGCTGATGTCAACGCGCTTAACAGCGGAAGGGACGTGGCCGGAGGATGCCCGGCCTGCGATGTGGGGTGTCGCGGGCAGGATCCGGCAGCGAGAGGGAGAGACGCAGAGCAAGGCAGGCCTCTGACTTGCGCGGGACGGGAAACAGCTGTAAAGGTAGAGCCCTTTCCGCGTTTTAAAAGCCAAACAGGCCCGTGTCGGCCCGGGTTCAAGGTTTCTGTTACAGCAGTCAGACCGCGGGGCTCTCGGCCTGGCTTGCAGGGCTCCTCCCAGAAGTTCAGGCTCACGTCTGCCTGCGCCCTCCCTGCGGTGCTCATGGCACATGAATCTCACCACCAACTGCCCGAAGAAAAAGAGGTCGGTCCGGACTCAGTGGTGTGGCCTTGGGTCCTTTTACCGAAACACTGGGCGATCCCCTTGGCTAAGAGGTGCTGGGTTTCCCCCTTCCTCCCCTAGCACCCCTCAGCAAGTGCCTCCGTAGGAAGCCGCTGACAACACTGGGCAAGTGAGAGGGGCTCGCAGGTAAGGTGTGGATGGAGCTGCCTGGAGGCAAACGTCGGGAGCAAAGTCAGGACGGTGACTGCAGGTCGCAAACAATGCCTGTTTCAATAAAGGAGGGCACGGGGCAGGGCAGGGGGAGCTGCGGGGCCATGGGGGACAGGGCTGCGGGTCCGAGGCACAGGCTGCCTTTTGCTCTGTCAGACCCTCACCTGTGTGGGCCCCGGGCAGCCCACCCCCAAGGTGTCTCCGCCACGAGCGCCCTCCCATCACCCCTGGCTCATCCTACGTGCTGGCGGGTGGCTGGCGGGGGTCTCCCCGCCGCTCGAGCCACACTCACATTCATCAACCCCGCGGGCCCCCCGCCCTCCGTCAGAGTCAACATCCTCAGTGCTTCTGCCTTTCGTTACCAAAACACAACCAGCCTCTGCAATGAACAAAACGCTCAGCAGATGGGAAGGTTCCCTCAGGCGAGAAGAGCTCTGTCTGCATCTGCGTCCCTTTCTCTCTCCAATCCCTGTTGCTCAGCCCACCTGCCGCTCATGGCCTCATTATTAAGAATATATAAAACAGACACTTGATACTTATTTCAGGAGTAGCACCGTAGCTGCTATTAACTTGTGTACATTTCTTTATGCACTGTAACCCCCTAAATTAGACTGTACAGAACAGCACCTCAGAGGCTCTCCCCGCACAGAGTCCCTCTGCTCTTACTCTCTGAAGGACATGAACAAACGCCCTTTGCAGTCAGCCTTCCCTTCTCCCTCTAACTTGTTTTCTCTCTCACTGCCCTCCGTTCCCCTACCCACTCCTGCCAGAACAGAACCACCCACCCCTGTGTTAACCAATGACTCTATCCCCCCGAGTCTCTGCCACCCTGTGGACGGTCTTAATCTCTAAGCTTTTATCACTCATTTTCCGGCAAGGGGTAGACTAGAAAAATCTGAGGTCAATGGATGGAGCAGGACTGAGTGGGTTCTTGGCCGGACTCCCCATCGCATGGGCTCATCCCTATATACTCTGGGCCACAATGGCTTCTCTCTCGTAAGAATTCTTCCTAGGTGACAGCCCCGTCCACCTGGCTCCTACCATCTCTTCCATTCGTGTCTCCACCAGCTGATGGGACAGGACACTGGACTGAGAGCCATTTGTTATCCTCCTGGTATCTTCACAAGGTCTAGTGCAGGACTACGCCCGCCGCGGTAGTAATAAAATAACACCCGCCAGCCATTACACGGTATACACTCTCTCAGTCAGGCATTGCTCCAAGGATTTCCTCCTAATTCCGTAACCCTCTGCAGTCATTCCCTCGTTCTCTTTTCTCCCTTTTACGGATCAGGTCCTGAGATCTCCCAAGGGTAACTGACAGACCCCAGTCACTAGCTCCAAACTCAGGCAGTAGGACACCAATCGCAGCCCACCACACAACTCCACCTAGAAACTTCTACAGAGTGTTCCACCAGAGCACAGCTTTGACTGTGACCAGGGCTCCTGACAAATACATCTCAGTGACTGATGGAGCAGCTGTGGGAGAAAAGTCAAGCTTTTGGTGTATGTCTTAGTCCGTTACAGCTGCTATAACTAAACACCACACACTGGGTGGTGTCAGCAGCAGACATTTATTTCTCACAGTTCCGGAGGCTGAAGTCCAAGATCAAGGTACTGGCAAATTCAGTGTCTGGTGAGAACCCACTTCCTGGTCCACAGATGACTGTCTTTTCCCTGTAACCTCACAAGGTGGAAGGAGCAAGAGCGCTCCATGCGGCCTCTTAGAAGGGCACCAATCCCATTCACAAGGGCCCCATCCCCATGACCTAATCACCTCCTAAAGTCTCTGCCTCCAAATATCACACTGGGGATTATGCTTCAGCATATGTATTTGTGTGTCTGTGTGTGTGTGTGTCTGTGTGTGTGTGTGTGTGTGTTCGGAAGGGAAATACAAAATTCAGTCTACAGAAGTATTATTTCATTCATCTGCTCACCCACTCATTTATTCCCTCAAGTAACACAGGGCCATAAAAATGCTACTTTTTTTTGAATTTTATTTTATTGATTTTTTAATACAGCAGGTTCTTATTAGTTATCCATTTTATACATATTAGTGTATCCATGTCAGTCTCAATCTCCTAATTAATCACACCACCACCCCTGCCACTTTCCCCCCTTGAGGTCCACACATTTGTTCTCTACATCTGTGTCTCTATTTCTGCCATGCAAACCGGTTCATCTGTACCATTTTCTAGGTTCCACATATATGTGTTAATAATATAGGATATTTGTTAGCAATGCTACTTAAGTCACATGAAACACAGCAGATTCTGACTACCTTACCACCTTTAATCAACCTGGGCACTTTGTGTCCATTATCTCCATCTTCAGAGCAGCTGTTCAGAGTTGGTGTTTCTGTTTTACACATGAGAAGGACACATGCTGGAGAAATAAGATAACCTGTCCAAGGTCCATACATGTGATGAGAGGCTGAACTAGAATTTCAACTCTAGACTACGTGACTCCAAGGTTCACCTTTTTAACCTTACTTACTCTAAGACCCACGGGCACAGGAACCAAAATTCTTCAATTCTCCAGGTGGATGCCAAGTCCATTCCTAGCTGGACCACCAGCAGCCACAGATACAGTGCAGGCAACTTGAAAAGAACTGGGTGCAAACCCACTTCTGAGCCAAGACTTGAATACGTCCTTGGTTGCTCTCTTTATCTGGGTTGGGTGTATAGTTTGGTTGCATAACTTTCTTATCTCTCCCCGTGATACTGCTCTTCCAAGTAGATTCCATTTCTAGAACATGTTGATGACGATACTCAGTGAAGGACGGCTGAAAGAAGGGGATGGAGCACTGAAGACGAATGTGTGTGTGTGTGTGTGTGAGTCTGAGGCTTCTGCAAAGAGGAGGGCTGAAAGCCATCTGCTAGAAGGAATGTCCCCCCACTAAAGCAAAATGATGACTAAGGAGGATAAAGCTCTATAAGGGAACCATGACCTTGAACACTTGGGTCTGCTATTGGAGATGACAGTAAATCATGACTGGAAGCTAGGTTATCTTCAAACCCTTGCTGTAATGTTCCATGTCACTGCTGAAGAGAGTCCTCCTATCTGTTTAAATTTACATCAGCTGCATTCCTTTGGACAGATCTATGTGTGGCCTCCACATCAATGGCTGCTTTCGGTCCATTTGCTTCTGAGACTTTCTTCTTGATTTCTGGCCAACCAGATGTCATCAAGGCAAGTGGGAGGGCCAGGCAGACAAAGTGTCAGGAGTCCTGGGTTCCGTCCTCGCTCAGCCACACAGGACCTGAGGGTCTGGGCCAGGCCACTTCACTGGGCTGGGCCTCCGTTTCCTCTACTACCACGCGGGGCTAAGGAGTACCTCAAGGAGCTGAAGGGAGAATCAGAGGCAAGAGCAGCAGGAACGCAGAGACTTTTTCTAGTTTAAATTTATTTTTAATTGAAGTCTAGCTGATGTACAATGCTGTGTTAATCTGTGCTGTGCAGCAAAGTGGTTCCATTATACATACACACATTCTTTTTCCTATTCTCTCCCATTATGGTTTATCACAAGATTTTTAAAAAAAATTTTATTGATAGTTGACTTACAATGTTGTGTTAGTTTCTTCTGTACAGCAAAGTGACTCAGTTATGCATGTATATATTCCTTTCCATTGTGATCTGTCACAGAACATTAAATAGAGTTCCCTGTGCTATACCTTGTTGCTTATCCATTCTACATATAATAGTTTGCATCTCCTAATCCCAAATTCCCACTCAATCCCTTCCCCACCCTCCACCTTGGCAACCACAAGTCTGTTCTCTATGTCTGTGAGTCTGTTTCTGTTTTGTAGATGGGTTCATTTGTGTCATATTTTAGATTCCACATAGAAGTGATATCATATGGTATTTGTCTTTCTCTGTCTGACTCACTTCATTTAGTATAATCAACTCTAGGTCCATCCATGTTGCTGCAAATGGCATTACTTCATTCTTTTTTATGGCTGGGTAGTAAGTAATCCATCGTATATATGTACCACATCTTCTTTAGCCCATTCATCTGTCGATGGACATTTACATGGTTTCCACAGATGCTTTTTTTTTTTTTTTTTTTTTTTGCGGTACGCGGGTCTCTCACTGTTGTGGCCTCTCCCGTCGCGGAGCACAGGCTCCGGACGCGCAGGCTCAGCGGCCATGGCTCACGGGCCCAGCCGCTCCGCGGCACGTGGGATCTTCCCGGACCGGGGCACGAACCCGTGTCCCCCACATCAGCAGGCGGACTCTGAACCACTGTGCCACCAGGGAAGCCCCCGCAGATGCTTTTTAATCTAGATAGAAGACCATGAACTAGTGGAAACATCCCTTTTCCATGTTGCCTTGTCCATGCAATG